ACAAACAAGTAGGGAGAAGATTCAGAATCCTAGACACAATAAGAAAGTAGGTTGGGATGATAGTACATTAAAAACTTAGTTCCCATTTTTTTTAATTAAAAATTGAATTTCTTCTCCCCTCCTCAAGCTACCTGAGTTGAGTAAAGGCAAAGAGGTGAGACTATAGCTTTTGCTTTGTAGTAGGACCCATCTTGGTTCTAGTTTGGCTCTACTGGGTCTCTGTGGGCAAGTTTCTTAAATCCTCAAAGCCTCAGCTTCTCATCTGAATAATGAGGACAGTATCATGCACATCACACGCTTGTGATGGCGACTGAGTGAGACGATGCATAAACAGTTTCTGGAACGTGGCTGGTGTTCAATAAACAGGAAGATTATTCCTATTAATTCTCATTACAAGTGTCTACCACTTTAGCCTCCTCAAAATACAATCACACCCCATACTACATATTCATTTTTGGTAGGACTACTATTGCGTAGATTGCTCAGGTTTGCAGTATCCACATTTTACAGATGAGAAAAATGGAGTTCAATGGTCAGTCCCAAGGTAACCCAGCTGGTGAGCCATTGACCTTGGATTACAACCACAGTGGTTCTTCACACAAGGATTGAAATTACCTGGATGGTGATTAAAACCCAGACTGATGGGTTCTACCCCCAGAATTTCCAATTCAATATATCTAGGGTGAGGCCCATGAACTTGAATTTATTTATCAGAGCTCAGGTGATGCAAACCACTGAGCTAGACTAGAGCAATGGTTCTCAAACATACCTGCTCATTAGAATCATCTGGAGGCTTATAATCAATGAAATCGTAACTGTCTCAAGGCTGTGAATTTTTCTATCGAAATTATGATTCAGCCTTACCACTAGCATATAATACTTCATTATTCCAAGTGAAAAGATAAATCTGTAACAACTTCGGAAATTCCACAAAGTCTGGAAAACTGTGCCCTCTCCCAAATAGAGTGTAATATAAAATATTTGTAGAGCCAACTATTTAATGAAGTTCTACATTTCTGATTCCAAAATTTCTATTTCAAGATTCAAGATTCTCTATTAATGCTTGCCAAGTACTCAGTTAGCAAATAATGGAGGTTACTGACCATAGCCGAAGCAGTAATGTTTCCTTAATATTGTAATGAATATTGATACTTTGAAATTCTTTTCTGAACACTAGATAGTTGGTTATGTTAGTTTTGACAAAATAGAAAACAAACTGTGCTTTAAAAAATATTTTTCTATCAAACTAATGAAATGTCTTATGACTTTTATCACTTAAAAAGTAATTTAGAAGTTATTTTTATAGATTTGTTCTGAACTCTATGTTCATATTTTATAGGTTAGTTTTTTTAAAATGCTACCTATATAATTCATTATGAGAATAGTTAGTTCTATGTACCACATTACTTTTGTTGGTACCACAAATCAGAAATGGATCATTGTCATTTCCTTTTATAATACAGGGTGGGGCAAAAGTTCATATGGAAAATAATATAATAAATAATAATGCGAGAATGAACTGTTTTGTGTACTCAAAACTGTAAACCCACTCTTGCCCCACCCTGTATTTATGTTCCTAGAAAGGTGAGAGTTATTGGATAATCTTTTCTAATTTCCAACCATTTATTGTGAGTGCCTAGTTATCACTGTGTTTTATATTCAAAGATTAAACAACTAATAACATATTTTACAAAAACCTATGAAATACGGATTGTATTAATCATATTTGGAGTTTATATGGCATCTCTAATAAATCCCAAATACTTTGAAAATATTGTTTCATTTATTTTCACAGCCGTACTTTTGAGGAGCAGATGGGTAACTGTCACAGCTGAAGGATGAAATGAGAGAACACATGCAACGATGCACTCAGCACAGGGCCTGGCGCACAGCCAGAGCTCATTAAGTTGGCTGCCATTATTGATACCACTGTTATTGTACTGTTGACTTTTTGGTAGAACCACAGGCATTACAGTTTCATTACGATGTGTACTTTTCTTACCCAATACATGAAGGCATCAATTATTGGTTGTTCAGGTCCTTTTCGCCATGGCTGTTCAAGTGGTTATCCTCAGAATGTATTTCAGTTGCGAGGCCATAACTGTATTATGTTGGTAGAATACAAGTCAGGAAGATAGGACTACCAAGTTGTAATTAAAGAAAACTTTCCAGAAAAGCACCCGTCAGTTAGATAATTTTGCTACAAGAGACTCAGTTCTAGGTCTTTTATTCTGCAACAACTTAGAAAAATTATCTCTCAGGGTTTCAAATTTAGGGATGTCTGCCTTTTATAGGCTAGGTTTTATTTAATCACAGTGAGCCTGAAGTTTCAAGATACCAGGAGATAGAGAACAGCCAGGGATATTATCTTGTTTAATGGTCATTGATTTATTTATGATCATATATTAATGTTAAACAGTATTCAGATATTACCCACAATGCTTCCAGCTCTCTGCCAAAAGTGGATTCTTTGCTGGTTTGTCTGGAACACCAAATAGGTGCAATTCACTGTTTTATAAAGGATGGACGGAGGAGGTTGCCCACAGCTAAGCTCTGTGGGGCGGGTAGAGCTACCAATTCAGAGAAGAGGAGAGCGAGTCGGACTCCTTTCCCAGAGCAAAAGTTGTTGGCCAAGGCTGACATCCAGTCACAACCATTTTATGCCATTTAAAGCACGTGCAATGGCATCTAATCACAAATTTCTTACCTAGTTGAAGGTAATATGCACGAACTTTTTATTCTGTAATAGAAACATTTTTAAAGGAAGCAAGCATAGATTTCTAGACAGAGACTTAAAGAAATTCTGTGAACATCCGTGCCTGCTTTTCCTGTTGCAATTTGTATACTGTTGCTTTTGCAAGGGGACACCCTTGCTGTGCCATGCTGAAACCTGATGCTCACATGTTAGTAATCCTGTCAGTAACCCTGAGTAGGAAGTATTATCACAGGATGTTAAAATCCCCTGGTTCCTAAGAGATTTCCCTAAACAGAACAGGCCACTGTAGAATAATTACTAAGTACCGTTTGAGGACATAGGCTTTGCCAGACAAAGGGAGAAAGTTTCCAGGCTGCCACTGGAAGACTGGCTACATCAAATTTCTAAAGCAGGAAGGCTCAGCAGCTATGGGTTTCCAGGTACAAAGCAGGTTACTTCAAGTGCTTTGCCAAATTTGACCTACTTCGAATTCCAAAAGGGATTTGATGAAACCTACAATGAAAGGGGGTAAATAAAAATAAGATCACTGGTTCATGGGAAAGCAGTGACACCCCACCAAAAATTCTGATTGAATAAATTATGCTCTGAGTTTCCTGACAGCCAAAGGGAAGAAAGTAAAGAATAATGGAACGAAGGTTGAATTGGGAGGCAATAAGGGATGGCTTCCAGTTTGGCAATCTGCAGCCTACATTTACTATCAGAGTGGTGGGGATCTTCTTGGAGTTTATTTCCTTGTTTTAAAAAAAATGCCTCCAATAAGAATCTGGAAGAATGCTGGGAGGATTCAAGGAGAAACTGTATGAGAAGGAAAACTCACAAGCACAGTAAGAATGAAAGTGGTTATAATCAAGTTTACCCAATAAAAAGAAAGCAAAGCATTACCTTCATCAGACAGTGCTGGATTATCTTCCTACCTTGAAGGTCCGGAACACAGAGGGCACAGAAGTCACGGTTGCAGAAACAAGAGGGAAGGAAGGAGGGTAGTTACCAAATGTTTTCCCCTCAAGCTCGAGTAAATGCTCGGCCAGGTTCGTTCATTCCTTGAAAAACGAAAGGATGAAAAAGGTCAGAGTGCCAGCCGCCAAGAAGGACTGCAGAAGGTCTCAGGCAGGTAGACTGCGCCTCAGTGAACTCACCACCGCTGGGCGAGATAGGCTTTCAATACCACCCAGTAAACCTGCTGCAATTTCAGGTCATCCACCTCTCGCCCGGCCTACTTCAGGTCTGCAACCATTTCCGCCCACACGATTCTTCACCCTTCCTGTGGGAATTCCAGGGAGACTTTTTCCCTGCCTTGTGCCAAGTCAAGTCCCCTTGTTTTACACCACCATGGCATCTATCACAGCTCCAAATTTACATGTGTTTGCATCATTATTATTGAACACCATTATTAAATAATGGCATTATTTGAATTCATTGTTAATTAAAATTTAATCAAATTAGTTACTAATTACATTATTATTATACTTATTTGCATCACTATTACGTTATCAATCATGTAGGAGGTGGCAGTCTCCCTGACTGCCTGTTCTGCCTGACTAACCTCCAGCTCTGCAGGGACCTGTTTTTTGTTCAACCATGTGTTCCCAGACCCAACACATTTCCTGGCACATGGTAGGTATCCAGCCAATATTTGTTAAAATAATCAGCATTACTGAATTTCCAAGCTGTCTAGCCGCGCTGGACGCTACGTGTACCATCGTGTAGCAAAGGCCTTCTAAAGTTCCAGGGGTGTTTACAACTTTTTGCAAAGGGAACTGTGTAGCGAAACGTTTTGGGAGGCGGCACAACCTCGCCCCACTGAAGCAATCCTGGAGACGGCCGAAAGCAGCCGAGGATTGCGCTCCAGGGCACATCCTGCACTAAACCCTGCAAACGTCCTGCGCGCATAATCCGGAGTGCCAGCTGGAGGCTGCGCTGGGACTGCCTCTTTTCATTTCTCCCGCGCAAAACCCGGCCGGACGGCTCCACTCCCTCCCTTCGCTGCAGGGGGGGGCCCCGGAACCCCCATACTGTTAGCTGCCTCAGGCTGCGCCCATTTGCAGCCCCCTCTCCCGCCGCTTGAGAAGCAAAGTTCCCTAGTCGCGAAGTTTGGGTCTGTGACCTAAGCCTGGCAGCCCAATGCAGCGGCGCCAAGTGGGCGGTGCCGCACACTCCCCCTGTCCCGGGCGCCGAGTGCGCCCCTCCCCGGGCCCGCTCGAGCTTCGGACGCTGCGCGCGCTGCTGTGGGTGTTCTCCCTGCGCCAGGTCGGGGGTGAGCCAAACTCCCCCGTGGCGGCGTGCTAAGAGGAAGCCTGAGTCCCGGTGGAAAAATGGAGTTGGCGACTCGCTCCCAGGTGAGGGTCCGGCCGCTTGACGCAGCCCCGACACCCCTACAACCTGCCTTCCCTTTGCGTCCAGACCTCCTCCCTTCCTTGGGCTGGAAACGTGGCCCTTGGCCCCTAATTGTGGATTGGGCGCGCTCAGTCCCGCAAACGCCTGAGTGGGCGCGCCCTGCAGGTGTGCGCAGTGGGTCACGGTTGTGCCAGCCAGACCGGAGAGGCTAGAAGCCTCCGTGCTAGGGTCCTGGCCTCCGTTCCTGGTGGGTGTCCAGGGGTCGAAGGCCCAGCTGCTGTGGCCGCGAGCCCCAGAATTGACCACATTTGCAGGGGAGGTAGCAGGAGCGCAGCGCTCGCGTTTGCGGCGCTAATGGAACCAGGGCTTGGGGGCGCGGAGCTTTTCAGGTGCCCGTCCCCACTTTCTCTAGAAATTGGCACAGAGATAAGGAAGTTTAAGAAAAGAGTGATTTTTCTAAAAAACAGTCGATAGACCAGTTCAACCTGGATAATGGAGTTTAGAAGGAATTGCTCTTGTATTTGTTCTAGAACTTTTGTAAATGTCTTCAAGGAATTTGTAACCACTTGGGGCGGGGTGGGGGTGGGGATGGCAACGTCATTAAGCCAAATTAAAAAACAAAAAGCCCCAGGATCCCAAACCGTTTACACAGCACGACCCTAATTAACGCGTTAGGGTCTTAAGTCGCTTTTAAAAATTTCTTTAACAAACACTTGCGAGTAAGTTACCCTAATGTTTCAGTGGGGTTTGGAATTGTGAGCGTGGTTTCGGTTTTCCTTCTTTTTAAAAGAGTTTTTCTCTACTTTCTAGTAATGAATGTTCATGGTTTTTTCAGAGGTGAGCAGCACTTTTCTTTTCAAACGAACTGCAAATAAAACTTTTAGAACTGGAAGGGAGCAGCTTGTGGGAACCGGAGAGATACTCAGTGTGAGGCGTGGAGGGGTTTTCTTGCTTTTTCTCAACTCCCCTGACTCACTGCTTCCCCCTTACCTTCGACTGGTGTTTACCTCCATTCTTCACCTTGGGCGCTGGGCCTTGGCGTTGGGAGAGTAGGAGGGCCAGCGCCAAGCTGCTGGGGTGGCCAGCGGTGCCTGAGCCCAGGCTGCTGTCGTCTGGCCAGGTATAGCAGCAAATTAAAAGGTAGAGCCACTGAAGGTCGCTTCCGCCCTGTGGTAATTTCTGAAAGACTTCCTGAAAGTGGACACTGGAGAGAAATCTGTTGTGGATGTTTGTAAGAATAAATTTTCCCAATGGAGGAGGGTTATTGAAAGCAAGGAAAACAGTAACACAAGGTTAAGAAGGACTGAGACAGGGTTAGATATTTATTTATTTATTTATTTATTTATTTGAGCCATTGGGCTTCACCATGTAATTAGTATCCTGTACTCCTAAGAGGTTCAGGTTTCTCCAGGACTTAAACTGAACTTTCTGGAAGAAGCTTTGAGGCCCTTGTGAATTTCATCAAAAAATGTATCTTGATACTGTATCACTCTGCCTGAATCCTGTTGTTCTGCCTGACTCACTCCCACCACTTAATGTATATAGCTCTTGCTCAAAAAGTTCCAAATGTCCCAGAATGTGTAGTTAGAAGTGAATAGCTCTAAAATGTTAAGTAAACTACCATGTGGGGGTAAATCCACAAATTATATCTGTCCCATAATGCATCAAACAGGGTGAATTACTATATGTAAGATGATAGGGTGTTTCCCCCCCCCCCTTAATAAAGATCTAATTGGCAGCACAAATTAAGATGTACGATGATTTTTCCAGTGGAAATGTTCCTGTTTATCATAATTTAAATGTGAGCAGATTATAGTCTCTTTAATTTAAATTAGAGGAGAGTGGTTCCATGGGGTGGGCAGGTGAGTGCAGATAAGAGCACTTAATGAACATTCCAGGCGCAGCAAGATGTTAAATTCGTGTGCCTCTACCCTGTGCCCCTGGCCTTGTGAACAGCGCAGTGTGATGAGCTGCCTGAAGCCGCGTTAGTGCCTGCTGAATACGGCTCAGCCCAGGGTGCGGTAGGTGTTAATCTCACACACTCACACACGCAGTAAATAAAATTTCCACCCCCTGGAAAGCGCAGAGGCGGAAGGGGTTCCCACAAGGCAGCTGAGGCCTGATGTGAGTAGAGGGCTGTAGAGAGGGAGGAGAAAAGAAGGTCTTCCTTTAACACTGACTTCCTTTCTAGCCTCTTTTTTGGGGATGGGGGGCACCCTCACCAGTGCGTGGGATTTGATGTCCTCTGACAGCGATCCCACCTCCCGTGGGCTGTCGTCTGTGCTGGGCTGACCACTGTGTCTTTGCGCTTTAAGAGTGAATGACAGCGGTACTACCCAGTGAAGGCCAGGATGGGTCTGGTCCCTTACTGAGACCAGTGTAGCGCACAGGAGCTGAAGGTGAGACGGCCTCAGCTTCCTAGGCAAGAAACTGGGTGGCAGAATGACAGTGTCGTCCTTTAACTGTCTTCTAGCTCCAGGTTGGACCCTTAGATGAGGAAGTGATGCGAAATGTTCTCGTGAGTGGGCATGTTATTGGCGGGGTAAAGGGGGATTTTTCCCTGGTATTGACCTACCTCATGGTTACAAAGTGTGTACCCATCTAATCCTGGGGCTTAAAAATTTGTGACCAGGGGCTGGTCAGAGACGGGGGTCATCTGTAACTTCTCAGGAGGACAGATCGATTACTTGCCACGTTTATAGTTCTGTATTTAAAAAACCAGCTTGGTCATTGTTGTGATATTATACCATCTCATTAATTTAAGAGCTGAATTTTTAGTCATCAGGAGAAACCTCAGAGAACACAGCCATTCTGACCAGGACAGAAAACTGTGAGGTAATTATGTGACTTTAAAAAAATTTATGAATGTTACACTAAATTAATGAAAAGGTCAGTAAAGCCATTTGAATAGCATAGTCCAAGCATGTTCATTTTAAACTGCTTTTGAGAGTTTTCCCTTTACCCACCAGCACTTCTTGAGTTACAGTTTAGAATTTTTACCTTCATGGTACAGTTTTGTTTTATAAAGACATAGTTTTATTCACCAAAGTGGAATTGATGCAGGCTTTTGGGGTGGAGGGGGGCAGATAGAGATAAGAAAATAAGGGTGGGACCATTTTATTTCCTTTTTGTTTATGAAAAGCAATGGTTTATGGATATTTTAAGATAGTACCATTCAGAGGCATATTTGGGAAATATAGCTGCAGTTTAACACACAGAAAACTTTGTCTTCCATGGTATATGTTAGTGCTCTCTATGCAGTCCAAAAACATGAAGTCTGTCCAGAAAAAATCCAACCATTGTTAATATAACGAGAGGAAAGTGGATTGGAATGCACATGTGTGAACAATGACGCCTTCACTGTACCAGTCAGCAGGGGGTGGTAGACACCGCTGAGTGAGCACACATGCTGTGTGGCCTTCACTTTCAGAATCACCGAGTGAGTAGAGCAACGAATCTGCGTCACATTCCTTCGGGGAAACTCTTCGGATGATTCAGAGGCTGTGGCTCTGGGCAACTGGTGATTGGCAGCCTCACAACAACAGGATGCCCGGTCATGGATCGTGTCTCACGCAGCGTTTTTTGACAAACCATTAAGTCACCCAGGTGACTCAGCACCCCCTGCAGGCCAGATGTGGCACCCTGTGACTTTTCCTAAAACTAAAATCACCTTTGAAAGGGAAGAGACGTTAGAGGGTCGATGAGATTCAGGAAAATAGGACAGGGCAGCTGATGGCAACTAGTAGAAGTGTGTGAAGTCCCAAGATGCCTACTTTGAAGGGAACTGAGGCGTCATTGTCCTATGCACAGTGTTTCTTGTGTCTTCAATAAACATCTCTATTTTTCATATCACGTGACTAGATACTTTCTGGGCACACCTCATGTCATGGGACCAGAGTTGGAGTCCAGACAGTTGACATTTTCTGCCTGTTCCCCGCCGCCCCCGCCCCCCCCCCCCCCCCAATGATCATTGGCTCACATGGCCTTTGAGCATCAAGTATGTGCTGGGTATCATGTTAGTTATGGTGGAAGAAAGGAAGACTGCTTTTCCTGCCTTTGCCAGAGCCCAGCTAGTCCCTGCTCTGTGCTATGGGGACTTGTGGCCTTTGGTGTGGGGAGTGGGAAATGTTAAGAGCCATCCTTCCCTACCACCTCCCCTCCTAGGAGACTATCACTTCCTTTTAAAAGTCAGGCCATGCTAGGTGCTTAAAGTTATTAGAATTAATCCTCACTGTAGTTCTGTGAACTAGGTTGTATTTGCATTTTATTTTAATTTAATCCCCCCCCACTGCCCCCTCCCACCCCCTGGCATTTTAAAGATAAGGTAAAATTGAGCAATTAGCTTGAGGCAGCCAGCCAGGAATGAGGTAAGCCGGGATTCCATTGCCGGACTCTTCCCTGTCTGGAATCACGGGATCTTGGCAGGTCTCCAGATTTTCACTGAAACTATTTTACGAGGATGGGGCCGCTGAAGGGAACAGGGTGGGCCAAGGACAATGTACTGTTCTGTGGTGTCGGCACTTCTGTTTTTTATCGGGGTACCTGCGCTCTTCCCTTTCTAGGAGGGCCAGGTGTCAGCAGGCAGTAGCTGGTCTGGTTCTTTTTTAGGAATTGAGCAGATTATCCAGATCACGCTTTCAACGGGATTCTTTGGATACCGTCTACAAATGTCAGTTTGGAAATACGAATAAGCTCCACCAGGCTTTTACGTAAAAATGATTTTTATGTGAATTTTGTATTGTGCAAATAATAGCGCGCTGAGATGTGCCGAAGTGAAGCACTGTGCCGCTGCTGTCCCCACCCTGCTCTCCGGGTCTCCTTTTCTAAACGTTTTCCGTTCGGCGGCTGTGTTCAGTCAGCGCTTTGGCATACCTGTAACAGCGTGATTGCTCTTTGAATTCTTCCTTTCACAGCTTCAGTATGGTTTTTCTCAATAGTTTGGAAGTCTTGATAGTTTTAACTTTTAATGACTGCATTTCATTGAGAAGATATGTATTGTATG